TTATGATTTACAGTAGCTACTTTTGCCTTAGTAAAACTTCTGGTTTACTGTGACTGTTTTTGCATTAGTAAACTTATGGTTTATATTGATACATGATGTAGTACAAATTAAAGAATAAGACGGGTAACTTCTCACATACATATTATTTTACCCCCTATGATTGTGAAAACATGAAGATTTTCAATCTTCCAATCATTTGTAGTCTTAATATGATAACTATTTGTATCAGTAAACTTCGGGTTCACTACAACATATGTTTTGACCATAATCATATAATATGAATGACATATTTGTATATAAGCTCTTCGAGAACCTTCGTTTATTATCCACAATCTAATATACGGGCACTACTGGTGTCATATGTCTTCTAGACAAACAACTAGTTCTTCAAGAGTTGTTGATACATTTTGTACTATCAAATATTGCTCAAACACTTCTGGTATCATGAGAGAAAATTATAATCAAATAAATAATATAAAATAATTGTTTAAGCACAAAAAAACACTTCTTCATAATATTTTCCTACTTCAGGAGAAAATTTCAATTGTGTTACTTCTTCGGGAGCATATTTAAAATACGAAATATTGAGTATATATTCTCTCAACCATATTAACTCTTCTGGAGGTGAATTATAATATATTTACATCAAGAGCGCGTTCCTATTTATGAATTTATTAATATTATCACTTTCACTTCAGGGAATGGATTAATATTTATCAAAAATTCTCATCCTTCAGGAAATCGAACATAATTATCTGAACGCGTATTAATCACATCAAATTGTGATGCTTCAACCTCTTTTAAAATATTTACTACTTCAGGAGCAAATCAAGGCGTGCATGTAATATAGAAAATATTTCTCTAGCTTATCTTTAATTGTAACCATAGAAAGCCTAAATTATCATTTCTGGTGGTCATAGGCATATACCACTTCTGGTGGTTAACAAAATTTAGCTACAATGATATATACGAAATATAACCACTTCTTGTGATTGTATATTTCTTGCAAACTTTGTTGGAGTTTAAGTGGATCTAACAATGTTATCCACTTTGTAATCCTTTATTTAGATAATTAGAATGAAAACAAATACCAAAATAGGTACTGTATACATAACATATAACCAAGCAAGTGATGATAAAAATATTAAAATATAAGCAAAAAGTTCAAATTAAATTACGCAAATTAGGCCACTCCAGATGTAAGCGATATCTATATCACTACTGCCAAGAAGAAAAACTCACCACCTTAAGGATATAATCTGCCTTATGATGCTCCGAATGAACAAGATCTAACCACAGACATAAGAGTATCGCCTTCTCTGTGGCTGTGAGTTGCTTCATGCACAAAAAATTAAACTCAAATAAAGAGCTCAAGATGTCAGTCTCGTGCTGATAACGTGTTATAAAATAAAGACTGTAAAGTAAATAAATCGAAGATAAGTATAGAGGGAGATTGATATTTTATTCAACTTCAAACTAATCTACATAATGAACTGAAAACTCTTCTATTTATAGAAGAAATGAAGCAACTGCAAGTCTTTTCAGGAAGCAGCTGCGATGCTTTTATTGAGCTGCTTGTAAGCTGTCTGCATGAGCTTCTTGCAACCTGCATGTTTAATAAGAAGATGTTGCAAATCATTTCATTAAGTTGCTTGCAACCTGCCTGCATCTTGTAGATAAACTTCAATAGAGTACCAAATGGATTATCTATAACGGAGTAATAAATGGACACCTATAATATAATTATTTTCATAACACTCTCTTATTTTTTATTTTTATTTTGGTCCGTATTGTTCGATTGAGTATTACATTTAATCTTCAATTAACTTAAATAATTATTGCAGTAGATCCGGCTGGTTCCATTAGCTCTAATGACCGACGCTGCATGTTTGGTCTAATTTGAGGTTAGATATTTGCAGCCGAATAAAATATGAATAAGAGCCAGATTAAAAACAATAACAAGGTTAGATATGTGCAGTTGAACAAAATAGAAACCAAAACCAGATTAAAAAACAATAACAAGGTTCTTTAAATGCTTGTTCCTACATCAGATTTAGTCATTTAGACGGCTGAAAGTTTCATCTACGTGAGTAATTACTAGATCTAGAACCAGATCAATTAGTAAAGCTAAGGATCCTAGAAAAATATGATGTAAGTTGTGTAACAGGATAACTCGTTCTGAAAATGAAAGAACCTTTGCTCTTTTCCTATCCTTTTCATTTATCAGACATGAGACTTTATCCAATTGCGCTAATCAATTAGGCAATTCTATTATAAACTTAGAATCAGTCAGGTGAATGAGCTCATCTGAACAAGCTACTTGAACAAATAAAGAGCCCGTTTGGATTGGCTTAAAAAAAAGTAGTTTTTAAGTTAAATGCTTAAAATATTTTATAAGTGCTGGAACTTATTTTATAAATAAGCAGCTACATGTTTGGATAAAAGTAGTGAAACTGAAAACAAGCTGATGAAGTGTTTGGTAAACAAGTGCTGATAAATACTTTTTCTTGTTAAAATGATTGAAATATCCTTAAAGTTGTTAACATTATAAAGAAGATGATGAATGATTTGATTTTAGAATATAGTTACACCAATTAATAAAAAAGGAAGCATTCAACGACCAAAATAATTAAATGTTATGGAACAAAAAAAAAAGAAGCTAAAAGAACAATATTTCTAATGAGGAGCAATTTCGGGATTAAGAAAAATAATAAGAGATAAGAATGTAATATACTTGGTCAAAGCAATATGGCTTTTAAGCGAATTTTGAAAAAGTTAAATTTTTCAACTTATTGATTTTGGCTTTTTAAAAGTAGATTTTAACTTTTTTTAAGTCATTTTTTGGTTGCCAAACACTTCCACAAGTTAAAAACTGTCCAAATAGGCTCAAGGTTAGATGTTCGTGTTGAACTTGATTTATTTAGGAGAAAAATAAAGAAAATAGACACTTTGTTACTTCTTAGTTAGTGCCATAGACAAAATTTTTCATTAAGGGATTTAACAAATAAAATAAAAAAATTAAGTCAAGATATATATATATATATATATATATATATATATATATATATATATATATATATACGTTATACATCCAATAATTTTTTGGCAAAAAAAAAGTTCAAATGAATCCCTTCCTTCTCCTAGCTCCACCCCTATTAAAAAAATAAAGAGAGTTTTGTACCTATATATTCTCAAATGGATCTCTTTCTTCTTAACGCTTTTGTACTTTTCCTTTGTCTGCCAAGGATATTTTGGTCCACCCGTCAGATGCGGAATTTCCTCTAAAATCTGTTAGTAATATTGACTTTTCACTAAATTGTTCCTTTGATTTCCTTTTCTAATGTACAAGCTCGAGGAAACTATGAACTCCGTTCATATCTCTTCCTCCTTGAGCAAATATTGACTAGAAAACACTTGAATAGTCAATACAGAGGACTTTAGTTAGGTGACCAGATTTTGCTGTTGAAAATCTGGAGGAATGTGACGTTAATAAAAAAGTTACAAGAAACAAATGGGTTAATTAGTACCACTTTTTATATTTTGTCCCAGTTAATTCTGTGGGCTTAAAATAATTGATTTTTTTTTTTAACGGACAAATTTAACTCAAAAAAATTAACCGGCGGACATAATTTAAAAGTTAATTAAAAAAGGGCCATTTGTGCAAGGCCCAGGCTCAATCATGATTCATGTACCACGATATATGTAGCCGTTGCCTTGTTTCGTGTCCCGAGATATTTCTCGAGTTTCTTGCCCTTTACCTTTTGGTTTCCTCATCATTTTGCAAGGTACATGGACCATTTTGACCATAGCCTGAAATTCTAATTGAACTTTTTTGTTTTGGTAATGTGGGAAAATTATATTACTATAAAATTAAAGATAGTCATTTCAGATAATAAAAGCGCCATATATAGCACTAAAGTGTTTAAGACTAGCCAAAAAATTACATAAAGTAGTCGAAATATTTCCAGCAAAATTTGTTCCTTCCTTGTCCGCCAAAATATGAGCTACAGCCGTAATTATAGCCTGTTTGGCCATGCTTTTTCAAAGCCCAATGCATTTTTTTTTCAAAATAACAATATTTTATTTTCAAATAAATAATATATTTTTTTTAAAAAGTTAAAGTGTTTGGCCAATATTTTGAAGGGAAAAAAGTGATTTTGAATAGAAGAAGAAGCAGTCATGGAGAAGTAGAAAAAAATTGCTTCTCTCCGGTAGCTCTTTTTAAAAAAAATATTTTTGAGAAAAATACACTTAGAATAACTTTTTAAAAACTTGGTCAAACATTAATTCTTGTTCGAAAGTGCTTTTTAAATTGATTAGTCAAACACAAACGGCTTCTCACTAAAAATACTTTTAAAAAAAATAATTTTAAAAAAAAATATCTCTCAAAATAAGCTGATTTTTGAAGTTTCGCCAAACATTCTATTAACCATAGAAGTATAAATAGATAAAATATTTTCTAACAAATGTATTAACTCCGCGGAATCTCTTTCAAATTCTAATTAAATTCATATGAACACAGTAAGTAAACTGATACGTAAAATTTCTTAAAGTACATAAGCTGTTGCTACTGTAGGTTTTAGTTGCTTTAATACTTTGAAGAAGATTTTTGTTTTCCAATTCATTTTAAAATTTTCTGTAAAAACTTTTTTCAACTAAACAGTAAATTCCTTTTTTAATTTTTTTGCAAAACTAACAAATGACTTTTTTCGGCTTAGATAAACTATCCGCTGGCTCTTTTTAGATCAAATGTGAATGCTTTGACTTTTGTTGCGTTAAAATAAGCAAAAATCATAGGATGCTTAAATGAGTACAAATTGAAAAGCTATATTCATGCTGACCAAGATCCACCGCCCGACCGAATTTCTCGTGTTTCCATACATTTGTTTGTTTATTTAATTAATAAAGTAAAATGGTTTCTTCTTCTTTTTTTTTTTTAAAAAAGGAAAAATTCAACGGTCAATTTATAGACAAAGGAAGGGAAGTTTCTGTGATTGCGATATCATCCTCTTTCCGTAATACTTTTAAACGGGATTAACTTTCGGCAAAGCTTGTGAACCAAAATATAAGTACCAGATCCTGTTTAGCCAATTCTTAAGTAGGGAGTAATTGTTTTACACATGTTTAAACCAGAGATAAATTTTGAAGTTCCTCTCGTTCCCATTGTTGGGGATGATTTCTGCTTCCCTTACCTTGTGAACCTAAATGTGAAGAAGAAAATTCTTGGAATTTCACATATAAATATCGATGTATTGGATGATATTGGAATTTCTCTTCTTCAAGGTAATGGAAAAGTTTGGCATCTCAGAAAGAAGAAAAGGATCATTTGTGATCCAGCTGGTTTACCCATCCTTACTCTGCGCGAAAAGGTACAACGCCTTCTATCTCTTTATTTTCATTTGTATTATTTTTTCTATAAGAGTAAATATTGGGCTAACTAACTATTTTACTGAGTATTGTTATCTTACACCATCACAGATAGATATTTTAATTCTGTTTGCCATGATTTTCATCCGCTTTATTGACGGTTAAGTCACACTTCGCTAGGCCACACCTTGGAGTGGGGAGGGGCGCGGTGTATTCTTGTATTAATGATTTGTGACACTTGATTTAGCATCAAAGTAACTCAAGGAATGAATATTATAAACTGAAAATGAGGTGGTTCTTGAATATTTGACAGTCACTTTCATGGCATAATACTTGGAAAGTTTATCGAGCCGGGAGTTTAGATAGGAATGATCTGCTCTACACAGTTAAAAGATCAAGCCCAATTCAAATGAAAATGCAACTTGATGTGTTCTTGGCCAGCAATATCAGTGGAGAGATCTGTGATTTCCATGTAAAGGGCGCTTACACCAATCAGTCTTTCAAAGTTCACAAAGGGGACACATTGATAGCTGAGGTACTTTACTAAAATTTTAAGCTTCATTTCCCTTTTTCTTTAGCAGGGAAGCTTATTAAAGGGCACTAAGCTCCTGCTATACGCGGGGTCCGGTGAAGAACCGGACCACAAGGTAACAAGGGTCTATTTACGCCGCCTTACCCTGTATTTCTGCCAGAGGCTATTTCCGTAGCTTGAACCGGTGACCTCCACATGACAACAACTTTACCAGTTACGCCAAGGTTGCCCTCAATAGAGAAGCTTATTCTTTACTTTAAATGTGCAGGTGAAAGAGAGATTCAAACTTGGAAGCTTCTTCAAAGGAAAAGAAAATTTTGAACTAAGAGTATATCCTGGTGCGGATTATGCTTTTATTGTCTCAATATTGATAATATATAATGAAATATACGGGGAATCGTAGGAGTTTATGTCTCTACACTTAACAAATTGGCTGGTTTCTTGGCCCCTTTCTCTTAATGTACATATGTGTCAAAAAAAAACCACTGGAAAGAGAGGAATTTAGCCTTTTTTGATGTCTATAAATATGTAGATCAGTTTTTCTCTACTTAATTTGGTTGAACTGAAAGTGTATCCAGTTGTTTCTTCTTTCTTCCTGATCATTTCTTGCATTAACTTTCATAAATTAGACTAGCTAGTCATTTTCATCTCTTTCTTGGTAGAGTTAAGAAGTAATGTAAATATGTTGTATCAATCTGAGAATTTGGCTACATTTTGTATTCACAACGATACAACAATGGAAACTAGCTAATACTGCACAACAATACACAGAAATTCGTGCAGCAGAAAATTTACAATAGTGAAAATATAAAAGTCAAATCGAGAAGATAAAACATTTATGAACTATTTCCTATCAGATCGTAGATGTTTGCAGCAATAGCAATAATACTCGTCACAACAGCTAGAACAATCATGACCACTGCGATGATTTTGTCTTTCCTTGAAGATAAACCATGGACATCTCTGCAAAAATCTAAATTAAGATGTTCACCATAGAAAAAGAATCAGATTTCTTATAGAGTAAAAGGTTGAGGGAAAGAAAGATAAAGACCTTAGAGCAATTGCACCTGGGAATATGAAGGCAAGGCAAGCATTTGAAGTTGATCCCATGAACTGGTAAATGTACCATATCGATGGTATAGCAATGGCTACTAAATATGACAAGGCTAACAAGATCAACGTAAGGTACATGAATCGTTTCGTGTCAGTTGCCAAATGCTCTTTCTTAGGGAATATGAGTTCGTCGATATTGGCCCTCAAGGAGAAGTTTAATAGAGGAAACACCAGCATTAGGTGAAGCGCATAGCTCAAGCGAACCACATCATTTAGAATTGGACTGATTGCAACACTGCCAGAGGACTTGCCAAAATTTACAAGTATATCTGCATTTATTGAATCTCCAAATAAAAGGTACCCAAAAATGCCAATTGAAAAATAGATGGCTGCACAAATTACTAGTGAAATTTTGACAGCAGTGGTCATAGCTCCAGGTTTCCCTAGCTCAATTCCAATAGGATGAACTGCATTCAAGTTTTTATGTTCATATGTCTGTAAATTTAACATCTAGAGTATGATCAAGAATCTAATGAATGTAGCAGCTCCTCTTACCATTGAAGTGAAATGCAAAAGCTGTTACAATGACAGGGATGGCAGTGAAAAGATTAAAGAAGGAAGTAGTACTATTTAACTCCGGTGGCATTCTTGGCCTTACTATTTGCCCTTTTGCGATTGCAATGACTGCCATTACAATACACATACCGACAAATACAATTGCTAGGAGAATCGCTACCGCTGAACTGAACCATAATGATTCTGCAATCACAAACCATAGAAAATCGAACTAGTAGTGAATCTTTTTACTTGTTTTAAATCCAAATCAAGTAAAGCCTGATAGAAATTGAACAACAGAGGACATGGTGTACTGACCTACACGCCGGTATAGGACTAGAGGAAGCACAACAAACAAGACAGTGAATAGGATCGATAAATAACGCGAATTCCACCAATGAATCCCAAACCATTCTTGAAGAATACCAAGATGTTCTCCTTTTCCAGAAAAGACGTCTCCTGATCACAGAAATTACAACAAAAATAAATAAAAGGACTAGTAGAATCAATCATTATTCAGCTTCCAACCATATCTGCTGCTTTTTCTTCTACTTCCCAATTAGTTTTTTTCCCCCAATTTTTCCCCCCTTGAGCAAGCCATCAAATAATCAATTAGTGAATTAAATAGACTCTCAAACTACTTCAGTCATTCGGCTAAGTTGCTCGAGTACGGGTGCGGATCTAGAGGTCGGATCCTTTGAAATGTAAATTGTAAGATTCTAGTACCGATCCCGCTAAAAATAATTCAAAATAAAGATATAAAAATATCTCAAAATTATGAGATATTTTGTGGAATACTTGCGCTTGTAAAGTGTGGTTTTTTGTTTTTATTATCAAGTTGTAGATAAGTAAAATATTTATTTCCTAAATAAGGTATGCTATTTTCTTCAAATTTACGCTAGTTTTGGTTTTGATTTCGGGAATCAAATTGTATTTTGTGTCGAATTTTTTCGTCTGTCATGATCAAAGTATCAAAAATTGTTTGACGTGGCACCTAAATTGTCGTGTCGGAGCAACTTAGTTCTTCAGCGTAGCAAACTATTCACACACTTCTTTTACTAATTCGAACTGAAAATAGTACTATTTGGCTTGGTGAAAACCAACTATGAGTTGCTCTGTTCTGAACTCTGGACATTGCAAATGAGAAGCATTAACAAGAAATTTAAAGAATTAAACTTACCAATAATAATAAGGTACATGATCAAGCAACCAAGAGTAGTGATCATTACACAAATTTGTACTGCCAAAGAACCTGTCTTTCCAAAATTCTCTTTCATCAATCCAGCGTACGTCGTCGACTGACCGGCATACGTTGCCCTCAACATGAAATTTACCGTTATGTCCACTAATATAGCAACCAGAATAATCAAGATAAATGCAGGAATAACACCTAAGACCTTCAGAGTTGCTGGAATTGACATAATTCCAGCACCAATAATAGTTGTTGACACGTTGAACACCGCCCTCCAAATCATCCATCGGTTGTTCTCCCTCGTCGGAGAGTTTTGTTGCGAAAGCAATGGGACGTCGGCGCTGGTTCCTGTCCTGGCCGGATCCATCCCGGAGATAAATATTGGTTGACTGAATATGCAATCAAAGTGAATTTAATAGTTAATATTATATGCAATCTGGACTTATGATGATTTGCTGTTAAAACAATAAACAAATAATGGATTTTGACTAATAAGCTAGTCTATGGCCGGAGGAAATGGTGAGTAGAATAGTTTAGACATATGAGAATTGGACAGGGAGGCGGCAAAAGTGACAGTTGAGAGGTATTCAAATGTTACAAGGAAACTAAGAAGGGACAAATGGCCTCACTAACAACAATTAGTTTTGTGGCTCATGATACTTATACGAGATTGATAGCCTGTTTGGCCGTAAAAATTAGCTTATTTTGAAAAGTATTTTTTTTATAAGTACTTTTGAAAAAATTACATACAGAGAGAAATAGTTTATGTTTGGCTAATCACTATGAAAAACACTTTTGAGCAATAATTTATGTTTGGCCCAATTTTTCAAAAAGTGTTTTTATGTATCAAATTACGAATAAGGACATGAATAGATTTACTTAATAGTTAATATTATAAGTAAATAAATAATTTCAAAAATTTATTATTAAAGATAATAATTAAATCTTTTTATTTTATTTAAGTAAAATATAAAAATAAAATTAAAAAAATACTTTAATTCTTTTAATATGATTTAAATATATTAAAAATCATTCAACAAAAATTAAGAGCATTCATCCCTAAAGTCACTATATATTTAGAAAGCTATCCTAAAAATAAGAAGAAATACTTATATATTAAGATTCTAAGTATTAGGTTTAAAATAAGTAAGGTTATTTTGGTAGATACTATATTTTGTTAAGAATATTATTGGCTAGAAGAAAAGTCAAAACTGCTTCTGCTTATGTTTTTGGAAAGAAACTACCTTTTTTTGCTTCTTAGAAACTGCTTCTCCTTCTGCCCAAAAGACTTTTTTCCTCCCAAAAAAAGCTTGGCCAAACAATTTAAGTTGAGGAAAAAAGTACTTTTGGAAAAAAAAAAAAATACTTTTGACCTTTGGAGAAGCTTGGACAAACATGCTATGAATGAAATTTGATGGTCCGGAAAGGATGTAAAAATAGCATGGGCTAGCTAGTTTTCAGACTGGTCATTGAAAAATAGCCAGCGTTTGCCAAGTCATGGAAAAATAGCCATTATTTTGCTGCAACACAGACCGGTCCAACATAATATACTGGAGTTCGGTATATCTGTGTATGAACTTCCAGCATATTATGCTGTAACTCCAACACGCGGAAAGTTCCAACATAATATACTGGAGATTCGAGCACATGTGTATGAACTTCCAGCATATTATACTGGGCTGATATACTTTGCTGGAACTCCAGTATATTATGCTGGAATTCCAGTATAAGTATACTAGAACTCCAGTATAATATACTGGAGTATTTTTCGAATTTTGAATAATGTTTTTGTTCCGATTTATCTTTACATGAAAAGTGATTAAATTTCGATTACTTTTGAAAGTGTGACTATTTTTGAATGACCACTTGTAAAAATAATTATTTTTGAATTTCTTTGAAGTTTAATTTAGTCCAATAATCAACAAACAACATGACCCATATGATATATCAGCAGTCACTATCACATGTATATTCAATCCATTTGGTTCATGAAACTACAAGAATTGGCCTTTGTTATGCTTCACTTTTTATTTTATTATTATATTATATGCTCCAGTGGTTTCCTTTTTAGTTTTGCAGATCTCTTCGAATCAAGAAACGTCTGGAACTAGGTATGGTGTAGAATAAATAGCGTGATTTGGTTTGACAAGGATTGCTATTACTGAAATTTGAACTTCAATATCGTTGTCGTGGAGGGATAGAATTGGATATATTTGTGATAAAGATTGGTCCCATTAGTTAAAGAGAAAGTCATTCGTGTATAAAATTCGTTTTCACTGGGACAGCTCATAAGCATTTTTTCCCCTTATATGCACTTTCCCCCTTTTTATCATCTCGCTATCTTTAGAACATTTTTGTATACCAATTGTGAAACTAGAAGGTTCATTCTTAATTTTCAAAAGGTAAAATCCTGTACGTTACAATTTATGTCAACAACAAGATTGACCTGAGAATTTAGCTATATTTTGTATTCACATAGATATATCTTGGAAACTATCTAATATTACCAACAATACACACAAAGTCATCGGCCAAACTATTTTACAATTATAAAATGTTAAAATTCCAATTATGAGCTATTTCTAGTCATACTGTAGATGTTGGTAGCAATAGTTATAAGGCTCGTCACAACAGCTAGAAAAATCATGACTACCGCGATGATCTTGTCTTTTCTTGTAGATAAACCATGGACATCTCTGCCAAACAAGAAATTAATCTGTTCAGCACAATAAAGAAAAAAGAAAATCATTCAGGTTTCTTAAAGAGTAAAGGTAGAGGAAAATACCTTAGAGCAATTGCACCTGGGAATATGAAGGCAAGGCAAACATTTGAAGTTGATCCCAAGAACTGGAAAATGTACCATATCGATGGTATAACAATTGCAGCTATATACGACAAGGCTAACAAGATCAATGTAAGACACACGAATCGTTTGTTGTTAGTTGCCAAATATGGTTGCTTAGGGAAGATGAGTTCGTCGATATTTGCCCTGAGGGAGAAGTTTAAGAGAGGAAATACCAGCATCAGGTGAAGCGCATAGCTCAAACGAACCACATCATTTAGAATGGGACTAATTGCTGAAGTGCTGAACGACTTATCAAAATTTACAAGTATGTCTGGCATTATTGAATCTCCAAACAAAACGTATCCAAAAATGCCAATCGAAAAATAGATGGCTGCACAAAATGCTAGTGAAATTTTGACAGCAGTGGTCATAGTTGTAGGTTTCCCCAGCTCAATTCCAATAGGATGAACTGCATTAGAGAAGATAACTCAAAATCATGACTACACAAATAGCATTTTTTTTTCCACTAACAAAACTGAAATTGAAATAAAGGGCCCTTACCGTTGAAGTGGAATGTAAAAGCTGTTACAATAACAGGGATGACGGTGAAAAGATTAAAGAAGGAAGTAGTATTTTTTAACTCCGGTAGCATTCTTGGCCTTACTGTTTCTCCTTTTATAATTGCAAGCATTGCCATTACAGAACATATACCAACAAATACAATTGCAAGGATAACTGCAATTGCTGAGCTAAACCACAAGGATTCTGCAATCACGCACCATAAAAACACAAACTATTAGACAATACCTTAGATTGTTTTAATACAAATAAGCCCAAGCAATTTGGTAAAAATTAAGGAACAGAGGGCAGCATGTACTGACCTACACGCCGATATAGGACTAGAGGAAGTATAACAAACAAGACAATGAACAGGATTGATAAATTACGCGAATTCCACCGGTGAATCCCAAACCATTCTTGAAGAATGCCAAGATGTTCCCCTTGTCCAGAAAGAACATCTCCTGATCAATTAAGAAATTTGTTTACCCTTGAAATGAGTAACAATTAAATTTATACGCGGTTAAATGATACATGATTTAATTTAACACGAATGATCTATGAACAGAAAATAATTAAAGTAAAGAGAAGCAAAACAATCAAACCAAACGTGACGAACAATTAAGCCTAGCTTTTAGATGAATACTGAAAATTAACCTCGGTCAAGCCCTCGAGACGGACTCGGTTGCAACCAAATAAATAAGCAGTCGAAGAACAATATGAACAGTAGCTAGAGAACAAAAATGAACTTGTATTGCTTTGATATGCGTGCCAACAATGGTTTTAAAATGAAAAGATTTCCCTTTTATATAGTAGGAGAGTTTCAACCCTAGTACAAGTCTAAATAAGGTAAAAATCTTCTCCTTCCAGTAAATGTTAATCTGCAGTTGATATCAGACGAGATTCGCGCCGTAACATCCGGTTGAGTGCGGATCCTACGGCTCCCCGCTTATCGTGCCTATACGTTTTTTCCCTTAGTCTCGGCCCTTTACTCTGCTCGGACCTGATGCTCAGCCGTATCCGGTCCCGGGTGCATCATTCACCTTCCCCGGGCTCTGAGACGTGGAACCCCTCGGCTTTACTCGAGGTCATGCCAGATCATGCTTCCCTCTCGTTTCTTTACTGGAAAATCGGGGGTAACGTTTATCACCAATTTTACCCGAACACGGATAGTCCCCTCACTTTTCAAAGAGCAAATTTATCGAAATGACGAGAAGTGATTAGTTGACATTGGTTCGTTCATCCGTGCGCTACAATCGAGTCGACGGGCCAGTGAAACATCCCATCAGTCGTGTCGTTCTGACTTCGGACACGTGTTAGCCATCGGTTGACTGTCCTCGAATGTGAAACGTCACGCATTAATTACCTCCTTCCTATAAAAACTTCGGTTCTTTTTTCACTTTTTTACTTTCCGATTTTAAATCTTCTTTAGTTACCCCCGCACTTTTTACTTGTTCATAACTCCTTCAAATCTTCATATATTGTTCTTCTCATCTTCATTTCTTCATTTCCAATCTTCAAATCTTCATAATTCATCTTTGAATCTTTAAGTTTTACCTTCAAATCTTCATACTCATTTTGAAACCTTCATATCTGCCTTTAAATCTTCATACTCCCAGATATCGGTGGCGAAAACTTCAAAATCTATGCCCCAACATACCGCCCCTTCAACTTCTAACTCGACCATGGAGGCCGAAGTGGTCCTATCACAAGCAACCCTAGAACCTCCTATAAAGACTTTTATCCCCGGAGGCTGCTCAATAGACAATGACTTTAAGGTTGAAAAAGCCTCCAACCAAAGGGGATCGAGGCGAGGAGGCGAGGAGGCGTGGAGGTACATATGCTTCATCACCGAGGACATGCTCCCGACGATTCGGGAGGACTGCAATTGGGAGGGCAAGGAAGTAGTCGTCCCTGGCCCTGACGAGGTCATCACCACACATGTGGAGAGTTACTAAAGTATTTATACGAACCCCTTCACGCTTGGTCTGATGGACACGATAGTCCTCAACTTCTGCAAAAGGTACGAGGACTGCCTCGGGCAGATTCACCCATCTTTTTGGAGGATCGTGATCCTCCTCCGTCAGTTTTTTAATAACACAGAGGAGCCCCGGTTTACCACCGACCATCTGCTTCGCCTCTATAGTCCCTGAATCTTCCGAGAGGGATTAATCAAGCATGTTCGACGGGAAAAGAAAGCTCTATTCTCGAGCATCGATGAAGACAGGGATCGAGGCTGGTAGGGGAGATTCGTTCAGGTGAAGACCGAGGATCTCATTCTCCCCGAGTTCATGCTATTCCCTGAGAAATGGAACCTAACGTGTAAGTTCCCCTCCTCTTGAGTAGTTAAAATACTTTTTTTTTGGTTTTATTCTTCTTTCTCATGGCCCGGTTCTCCCGTTGTGCAGCGGTCTCCCGAGTCCCCAATTCAGTCCCCCGTTTCAAGGACTGGGTCGAGGGGATATGCAAGCAATTGACGTACTCCGAGTGCGAGTAGTGCGAACTCTCAAAAGGCAAGTGGGAGGCCCGTTCCTATGGTGAGTATCCTTCTTCCCCCAATTGAATTTACCTATTGTTCTACTGCTATTTCGACTAAGTCCCTTTCTTCCTTCTACAGGTTTTCCCAAAACCACCGAACTTCTGTCAGTGGATGAGGATGAGGCCCCATCCCCATCCGCAAAACCCTCCGCTTCGGGACAGTGTGTTGCCGAGACCGCTGTGAAGAAGGAGGAGAAGAAGAGAAGAAAGAGGGGGTCTTCTGGCTCCCTAGATGTGGACGCCGTGGCCAAGAAAAAGAGGGTCACGATCAGGGTCCAAACGAGCAACAAGAGTACTCGGGCCAAGGTACCGGACCCCGATTCCCTTTACCGGCTCAGGGACTACCCTGGAGATGGCGATTTGGAGTTCATCGCCCATGAGCTTACCATCGCTGCAGAAGAGCGGGCGGCACCAGAGGGAAGCTACCGGGAGGCCGAACCCTCTTCAGCTCGGGAGCTCGAGGGAAAGCCTGTGGCTACGGCCTCTCGAGAAGCTACCCCAGCTCTGAGAGAAGCCGCCGACGTCATTGACATTCCGGAGTCACCGTCTCATATGTAATCTCTATTTGATGAGGCCCAGACCATTAAAGAAAAGCCGATCGAGGCATCACGAGCCGCAGATGAGGCCCTCAACCTGTTCTTCGAAGCCATGGACGTCAGTGCACTGGAGGATTAATCTGGATTTGGCCACCTGGATATCTCGAAGAAGGACGTGCTGCCGGAGTCAGGTGGGCCAAACTCGAGCCCAAAGCTGGTGAAGTAGTTCCCTGCACAAGCATAGATCCTAATCTCAAGAGAACGATCATGTTTACTATCCCGGTGGATACCAGGGTGCTCTCTGGGCCAGTTGGCATAGACAACTATCTTCGTTGCTTGGTGACCGAAGAGGACCAAGCAAAGATGAACGAAGTGGATGCACCAGGCCTTTTCAATGAGGCACAACATGCACTGAACATGATATGATTTCCTTTCTTTATATCCCTTAAAAGGTTTATTTAGCCTTAGCATATTTTAATGATTTCATCACTTTTGTTCCTCAGGCCTCAGTGCTTCATCATGAGAGATTCCGCCAGTCTCAGATGAAGGTGGGTCATCTCGAGTTTGAGTTCAAGGGGCAGGTCCGACGGAGAGATATGTACAAAGTTCTTAATGAGCAAAACGATGAGGCCCTTAAGGACCTCCCCGTCCTCCAAGCTGGAAAAGGCTCAAAAGGAGGCCTCATCGGTGAAATGGGAGCATGCCGTTCTAGTTGAAAAGGTAAGGGTATTTGAGATTAATAACGAGAGGTTAAGTGCAATTGCTAATGCCACAACCTCGCATGTCCAAGAGAAGATCAAGCTAATTGACCAGCTCAGGGCTGAAATGAACGAGGTCAAGGCCTCGATTGAGGGGTTGAGGAGCAAGATGGATCTTCTGGTCTCGGAAAAGGAGGCCATCAAAGTGGACTTGGCATCGGCCAAGGACCAGCTCCGGGTGATGAAGGATAAAACCGACAAATGGTCTCGACTGAATGATGAGCTCCGAGCACAGCTGGACTCGGCCATCTCGAAACGAGATTCCCTCGGCCGGGAGTACACCGCGTTGAAGTCTAAGTTAGAGGCAGCTTCGAACGAGTCCTCAGAGGTTCAGGATATGCTGGCCCCATACAAGAATGATGTGAACGTGGTTGAGGCCCGTATAATAACAAAGGCCGAGTATATAAAATGGTTATCCCGAAGGGAGACTCTCGAGGATATTCATGCCCGAGAGTTCGATCTATCGGCTGAGATCAAAGAGGCGAAGAGGCCGAGACCAAAGAGATATACGAGCCCGAGGGTTTAGGCAGTGAATCGGGCTTCGGTAAAGACTAGGCGGGAAATGCCTTAGTTTATTTTTTGTTTTCCTTTGTACATTTATTTATTTATTTATTTTGAGGCCGATTTATAGTTCCTCTGTAAGTACATTTTGAGATATAAAATTTTCCTTTCGGCTATATTGAGTCCTTTGCTTTTCAACGTTTGCTTTATGTTCGGAACTTGTGACTTATGTTTAAAATATGCCATCGATGCCTTAGCACAAAATATGATTTAACTTAGACTGTTCCTCGGATAAGGCCTAAGTTAAATAACAATTCCGAGTTGCTTTTGACTTTGGCGGGAGTAACAACAAACGAAGTCTTTATGAGAGTATTCGAATATTTTGATCGGACATAATTATTCTCTGCCAAAGGTGGCTCTTTTCATGGCCGGGTCTGAAGCAATCTTTTATAAATTAAAAGACGTGTAAGGACCTTACTTTTTATGTACAGACTTGGACGTCTCCAAGTCATTTTAAGTTGGTCGTAATCTTTCATGTTTGGGCCCTGCCTAGTAGGCTCGGTACCTCCAGGATTTGGTAACCCGAATCATCCGATCTTATTGTCGGGTAGCAGTCCCCGGTTCAGGGAGGTCCGTAGGCTTAAGGGTTTCGAACCCACTACTTATTTTGAGTAACTTAACGATAATATCGATGGTGCAAATATGAACTGATGAAATATAGAAGGCAAAACTTCTTTTATTACTTTGAATGTAGAGTGCATAATCGAAGATACAAACCGCTTTCTGCCATGGCAAGAATAAGCTACACGGGCACAGGTTGTTTGACCGTTTGACCTTTACAATCAATTCTAATATTCAAGCCTTGGCATTCAGTAAAAATAAAGCCTTCTAAGTTTTCGAACTCATGACTCTAAGTTTCCGAACCCAGGACCTTTACTTAGGGTGTGATGGCCCCATAGTATTCGAGGCTGAACTTGAGAGGGCTTGGATACTATCGGTCTGATATGGGTGATCCGCAGTCCCGTCCTTAGGTTGGTCTTTAAAAGTAGGGTAGCACGCTTTACTGTTGCCTCGTTAAAAACCTTGCCGTAAAACCCACTTCGGAAAAATATCGGTCCAAGAGAAAAAGAG